GCTGTGTTTGTATAACTGTGATTATAGAAGCAACATAAAATATAATGCATTTTCATTGTGGGTATACAGCAGAATATATTTGATTATAAATGCAGCCAACGTCCCAAAGACACGTCCTTAAGAATGTTGCAGGCAAAACGTTCACCTTTGTTGACATATCAGCATATAAGGAACATTTTATAAAACAATTTTGTCATCTCAGGCCTCAATAAACATCCCCTCTGAATCGCTTTGCAGTTAAAACGTTATGTCTTAGTTGACCCTTAAAACCTTATAGGAACATTATTTGAAATAATAAACATCCTAAAAAGGTTCTTTGAACATCAGATTAAAACGTTTCTTTAAAACCTTGTTAGAACCAATAGGTAACGTTAGCCAAAGTTGTGAGAACGTTCCCCGCTAGCTGGGATAGCAGCTTAACAAGAATGGCACAGGCCTTGAGAGCTCTGTTTATGTCCCTTTTATATTTATATAAGATTTATTTGCGAGCATGACCTCTCCAAAGACTACTCTTTGTCAAAGTCGTCATGAACTGTGGTTGCTCAGTAGTTGGTGCTCAAGTTGAACCAATTTCTCAGGAGCTGGCAATGGAAAAAATTGTTTTCAATCATAATGAGCATAATGAGTTGCAACACTAGGAGGTTGAGGGAAAGGCCAGCTGTCACAGAGAGGAGACGCGATATTGTGTATAAATATGGCAATAACAGCACTCATTTTCAGACAGGTTTCTCCTTGAAGGCATTCATTGTGCTTCACTTAGTTGTTTACATGGAAAGTGACAGAAAGGTTTTGTTAAGAACGAAAAAAAAGAGCGAGGGATAGAAGTTCAAAGTGGGTGTAAATGTTGGATTGTCTGGAAAGTTAGGAATGATGACACAGGCAATCGTATGACTGCATCTAAAAGGTGTTTTTTGAAACGATTGACCCTTTGACAGCGAATTCTGACAGAGTATACAGTATGTGCTTAAGATGCCACGGTGTGCAATCAAACAGCACCTTTGACAATTGAAAGATTTGGGATCCCAGTCATACAAGTTGTGACCACATACAGTGTCCGATCTTTGTAAATGTCGCACGTGTTGATTTCTCACACCTTTCCTGTCTATCACGATCAGCCTTTGCCACGACAAAACATCAAAGACATTGCTCCGTCCATCTAACTATCTCTACCTAGCAGTGTAACAAAGTCTTAACACATAGAAACGGTTTTATTGCACTAATGATAGGTGAGCGTTGCTGAACAAAAACTCAACATGTTCCCATTCCTGTCCATCGGCCCACCTTGACGGCCTCCCTGTTTCTCGCCAGGCTGAGGTGTCAGCGAGGCAGAGATCTTTTCAGCAGTCAGAGTGTGAGTGGCAGAAATGAGATTGATTTTAATCAGAGAGCCTATAATTACATTGCTGCTGCTGTTGTCACTGATGCTGACAGAAGCCAGCCCTCCTATCTGCCTGTCCTTCAGTATGACTACACCTCTTTGTCTTGCTGCCCAAAGCCTGTCTCACTGTCAGTCTGCCTCTCTGTCCGTGTTCCTCTCAGTGAACCTGCCTTCCTGTCTGCCTGGCTCTACGTCTGACTGTGTTTCCTGTCTTAAAGCATGTTCTGTGTGTTTCTCCTTAATGGCCATGCACTAAGCAGTGTAATTACTTTGTTTCCTTGCACGCTCCTCTGACACAGACACATACGCTTTTTTCTCAAGATTGGACAAAGACCATGGCAGCCTTGGGATGGCAGCTCAACGTGACCTTGTTTTCACAGCCTTCTGCGGAAGTCTGCTTCCTGTTGGACTCGTTTGTGTGTGTGCTGTTGCGTCTAACCTTGTGTAAATGAGTGTTGTAAAGACCGACCTTATCCTCAGACTTTTAAATCTCCTGTTTGCAATTGGCACTTTTTCTGTGCCGAGTCAAACCATGCTAATTTGCGTTTCCTTTACTAGTGTTAGGGCGCCTAGTCCTGCCCGAGATGGACCATCTCCAAGGGGGTTTGTGTGTGGAAGATCAGGCAAAGAGAAAAACGTTTTTAAAAGTCTGTGTGTTCAGCTCTCATTACTTTTGTAGCTTCTAACTGAATCTCCGTGGTTTGATGTTTAGTTTCTCTCCTGGGTCCCTGCTGTTTGTACTTTTAAGATATCCAATGTATTTGAATATTTCGCTTTCTGCTGAAGAAGAGTCGTGTTTAGTTAATGCTGATGAAAACACAGCATTTCCTGATTGTTTTGCTTCTTATTAAAGTTTTCTAATTACAGCATTACAGGGGATGTTTATTGTGATGGTTTCATAGGAAATTAAATATGTTCATCATGAAGTTTGCGTAGATTTTTAAGTGGCTATTTTTCACTAAATACATTTGTAAATCATATGAATTATATATGTTAATGTACTAACAGCCAATTTACACAATACTTAAAGTCACAACCCTTGGTATGCACACCTTCTAGCCCAGTTGTAGTGGAGATTAAAAAAAACAGTTAGGAATTGTAAAATGTAAACTTGCAATTCAAGCTGCATCATTTCCTCAAATAGTTACCCTAAATGTCTACTTTAAAAAAAAAAAGCCAATCATAGCCAAAACCAAAATATTCTGATAAAAAAAGATAGCACATGTTTCCTATTTAATAGATCTTTTCAAACTGTATCTGTCTCTGAGAAGCAAATGAAAAACAGTGAGGCTCTGAAACAAATCTTTCTTAAGTTATAGTTATAATTGTAATGTAAAACATAATCATTAGAATAATTACAATGTGTGATGTTCATAATTACTTTAATATTTGTGTCATCATACTCTGTGGGCTGGACAGAACTCACAAGTATAAATTCTGTTGATGGAACGATACGAAATAAAGTCTTCACAATAAATGTTGCATTTCGATTTTCAAAAACATGTTTTTATTGTACTTTGGAAAAATGAATAGTTAATTGTCTTATCTAATGCATAAATCTAATTCTTATTAAGTTAACTTAGTTATAATTGCTTTTCTCAATGTATCAATGAGTTAATTGATCATAATGAAACAATTAAAATGTATAATTATTCTGATTGTGCACTCAACACTCCATAGATCGTACCAATTACTTAAGGTTTTCTATGCTCAACAATAGTGGTGAACAGATGTTTATGTGGAATTTCTCCCACTGTCTTTAAAGTAAGCATTCACAACATGTAGATGCTCCTAATTGTTGTATTTTATTATATATGTTGGATGGTTGGAGGAGCTCAGGTCAGAAGAATTTCATTGCCATTTCTACACTGCTTTGTGCATATGACGAAAAAACCTTTGCATCCTGGAACCTGGCTTTAGCAATATTAGTACAGAAGACATATGTTGAACATAATCCTGTAAAATAAGAGCTGCCGGTCTCCATGGTGGTCGGGTCGATAGGTCCTTTGTCTCCTTGTTCAGGAGTCTGTCTGCCTCTCGGTCCACGCTCATGTCTGACTTTGCAGTATTCAGCGTGGTGAACTCTGCTTCCTGGTGGCTCAGAGGAGATGTGACACAGTGAGAGGAAGTCAGGATGGCAAAGGTCAACTTTTCTCTTCTTCTCCATCACCATCAGTGCTTTAGGACAGGTGACAATTAAGTGACTTTAATTCCCTCATAAACGAGGTCAAAGAGACTGGAGTTAGAG